AAGAATTGAAGATATCAAAAAGTTTGTCCATATTTTCAATAAAATCTATTGTTGCCTTTGAAGAAGACTCCAATTTATTACTAACAAGGTAAGTCTCCATGCCGGCTGCTACACTTTGACTAAACACTTGCGCAGCCAAAAAAACTTTCATTTTCTCAAATGGTCCAGGAAAAATATGAGAATGTGTTAATTTTGGGGCTGTTCTTAAATTACATTTACTGTCTTGTTCAAAAAATGATATTAAGTGTTTTTTTTTCAATTAAGTTATTATTAAATTTAAAATTGTGTTGAAAAAACATATTTCTTGTTGATTTTAATAAATGGGGAGGGTCAAATATATATATTATTTTTTTTTCACCAACTTTAAAAAAAGGCCTGGTTGGGGTAACATTAACATTTTTACTAAAACTAACAAAGTTAGAACCCATATCAGTAATAAAAGCTTTTACATTTAATCCTATATCAAAAAGTTTGCGAATAGTTTCAAAAATAATATCCTGCAAGTCATATCCGGTACAACTACTTGATACTAAAAAGTATGCAATTGGTTGTTTCCAGTTCACATTTATTCCTCTAACCATTAGAACAAATGCATACTTGGCAGGAGTATAAGTCTTTGTCTTATTTGTTTGATGAAACCCTATAATTTCATCTTTGTTTAACATATAATAGAGGTTTGATTTTAAGGCCATTTCATCTGCACAGAGAACACATTCTTTAGCTTCGTCAGTAAAATATTTAATTTTATACTTAATAATATTAAAAAAAAATTCATTCAAGCCTGGTATCATTTCAAATTTATGAGTTAACCGTTTTAAAGTAGAAATTGATGGTAGTGAAAGAGTATTTAATAAAAGTTTATAGACTCTAGGTCCTAAAAAATAAATATTTAATGCTAATTGTTTAATTTCATTATTATATCTATAACCTTCTTTTTGTTTTTTTTTAAAATTCATTTGGGATTTGACAATTGTAAATAATCCAGGTGATAAATATTTTTCACCTAATTTTAAAAAATTTTCAACTGTATCATAGTTAGCTAATTGTTGACTTAGACTTACTACAGTCTTCTTTAAATTTTTTATTTCTTGTTTTCCAGATTTAATCTCCGTGACTAGTTTTTGTTTCCTTGGTGTATTTGCCGATAAGTATCCAGGTGTTTGATTTGAAGAATCAGTAGTTGTGATTGAGCTACAAGATTCATTTGAAGCATCAGAAGTATTCATGGATCCACTAAAATGACCTCTTAATCCTTCAGTGCCTGGAATTGAACTACTACAGCTACTCTGGTCTTTTGAATTATCATCAAAATACTGTGGATCTACATCGGTTTTCGACTGTAATTTGGCCAATTTAGTTCTTTCAAACATTATTTCATCTAAAAATTAAATTCAAAAAAACGTAACTAAAATTAAAATTAAATTATTAAACCAAAAATTACTTTATTAAGATCCAAATTTGTTTTTCAAATTATTTGTATAAATTTTAAACATGTTTTAATAATTTTATTATTTACTTACCATTAAATATTGTTGGAATAGCATTGAAAACTAGTCGGTTTTTTGTTGTGGAGTTCAAAAACATTGAATCTACAAAGTGATCCCCACATACTTTATAGCTATTTTTTTTTGATAGTTCTTCAGTTAAATTTTCTGTACCACAATTTTTTGTCCATAATGCTAGACGATCGTCTTTTGGATATTGGAAGAAACTTATATTCCTAGTACTTGCTTTACTTTTGCAAAATTGTACAGAGCAACGCATTCCTGTTTTTTTACTATCCATTTTAAAATTAAGAAGTACAACTAAATTGTAAACTGAAAATTAAGTAAACTACACACTTGGTCAGTGGTCAACTAATAAGTCACATGGAAGTCGTGCAAACAGCAACTAAAGGCCAAGATAACCTATTTTCTAAGGGATGTAAAAGGTCAGATCCTATAGAATAGAAGGGTAGTTAGTATGAATTTCAATGTTGGCGTCAGGTAGCAATCGCGTCATTTTTTTGTCATGGACCAAACGAAATGTTATGCCCTCACTGTGGTCACACTGATTTGGTCGCGGTGATAATATTCATAGTTTTTGTTTACATCCCGAGTGAGCTATCTGTTTTCATATAGTCTGTGCTATTATACCCATAGATGTATTAAGTATATACAATATAAACTACATTCATACACACTTGCATACACATAACAGATAAGTCATAACACAATGATGCACCATTATAAATGTGCAATTATAATTACTAAATAATTTAAACTATCATGAATATCATGACATTAAATAAATTGGTAGGTAGGTACATAATATATTATATACAGTCATACAATATAACAGCAAAATATTATGATAGTAGACCTACTCAGTAAGATAAATGTAAAAAAATACAAACTATATGCATTGTATAGTGTATACATTTATACATACCTACGTTTAAGGTCAATCAAATTTGCTATTCATCAATAAAATGATCTATTTATTAATTTGATTTAATTCTCATAATTAAATAAATATACAAGGTAGGTACAGCTATATATGTAAGTAATATCAAATAGTATAGAAAATATTATACAATTATTAAATAACTTTACTACCCACAAACTTTACTTAAATATATAAAGATCTTTTTATTTATTAATATAATAATATATATTATATAGAAACAGTATTTGTATGCTACATTAAATTATTAATTACCAAAATAAAAAAGTGGCTATTTGATTACCTCAACCAATTAACTTAAATGACAACTGTAATATTATATTGATAAGTATGCATTTATTAGTTCATAACAAGGACTGGAACCGTAACTTTTTGAAAATCTTATGACCGAAACCGGACCTGAACAATTAAATACATTTTTTTAAGAAAAGAAACCGAAACCTATATTTTGATGTAGAGGTTTTTTCGGTTTTTTTTGGTTCCAAAATCCAATAGATATTTCATCTGTGGTGTAAGTAGGTAATAACTAATTATTACTAATAATAAATAAATAATTATAAAATCGTAGACCTAAATTTTGGCGTAATGACGTCGAGGAAGGTGACTCGCGGTAGTCGGATTTCTTATGAAATGTTTTGAATTTTTTCACATAATTCATAACTTAATTTTGCGTTGTCTGTGACTGTAATGGACGCTGTCCTGGCCGCACGTTGCCTACAAGGATAACATAGATGGGTGACCTGTTAGACACCAAAATCAGACGGTGGCTATATGAATTGCACGGACGCCCGAAATATTTTGAATTTTCTTCACGAAATTTATTCTTTAATTTTGCGTTTTCGGTAACAGTAATGAACGTCGTCCGCGATTCGACGCAGTCGGATTGCATACGTGATGACGTGCTCCAGCCGTCGAATATTGTCGGATTGGCTTTAAGGGTGACTACGACCAAAGTCGAGAAACGTGACTGACCAGCTAGACCCCAAATACTATAACTACGCCGAACGTCATTCGAGGTGACTGACCGGCAAGACACCCACAAAAATACAACGACTATATTATTTTTTATATATTTTACTATATTAGATTTTCATAATCTTGTGTAGGTTCTGCGATATGATTCAAGTCCTATGTGTAGTAACACCCAAACAAAAAGCTGGCTATAAAACTCGGCCGTCGCACATTGTCGGATATCCTAGCCGTATTACTAAGGAGGACGTCGCTTCAGCTATATGATTTATTTACGGGATTTTGAATTTCCGGCGGCATTTAAGAACGTTGTCGGCTAACATTGTTGCTTATACGGGCTACCACGTCGAACCGCGGTGATCCTAACCCTTATCACACACGGACCGGGTCGAGAACAACGACCAGATCAGATATTTAGTTAATTTTGCGTTTTCGGTGACAGTAATGAACGGTGTCCGCGATTCGACGCAGTCGGATCGCATACCTGATGACGTGACCCGCGGCCGTCACACATTGTCCGCTATTACTACGGCGAACATCATTTCGAGGTGATTGACCTGCTAGACACCCACGAAAATACGACCAACTTCGAGGAGGTGACTGACCTGCTAGACCCCAAAAGATATATTCACGTAAATTATATAGCTGATGTACCGGTTCGTGTACCGGTCGTCACGTTGTCTACCCGGGTGACTACGTCCAACATCGAGTCGGAATGTCTACCCGGATAACATAGATGACTGACCTGCTAGACACCAAAAAATCAGACGGTGGCTATATGATTTGAATGGACAAGCGAAATATTTTGAATTTTCTTCACGTAATTTATTCTTTATCTTGCGTTTTCGGTAACAGTAATGAACGTCGTCCGCGATTCGACGCAGTCGGATAGCATACGTGATGACGTGCCCCAGCGGTCGTATATTGTCGGATTGGCTTTAAGGGTGACTACGACCGAACGTGACTGACCTGATATACCCTAAAAAAATCACAGCGGCTATGTGATATTTGAATTTTTTTACGTGATTAACATAAGTAAAAAATGTTGACAGCTATCCGGTTAACTTATCCACTGGTAACCTAATCCACCATCTAACATCCTTATCACAAATCCACTACCCTTATCACTAATCCACTATCCTTATCACAAATCCAATATCCTTATCACTACTTTTTTAATCACAAAACCACTATCCTTATCATAAATCCAATATCATTATCACTATTTTTTATCACAAATCCAATGTCCTTATCACCAGATCTCCACATCACCCATACACCGCGTCGGCTGAGATCTACGAGCACACTACGAGACCACCGCTGCTTCCGAAATCGACAACACTAATGACCAACTCTCGGGGGTCTGGGGGTGTCCCCCAGCGACGCTCGGAGAGCTAGTCTTACTATTTAAAACGAAAACCCGTGTGGCGCTTCCTATGCGTTAAATCGGCACTTTATAGGGAACCCTCCAATGAGAAAATTCAATTTCCCCGGAGGGCGGTCTCCCGGCGGCGGCGGAGCCCTCGCAGCGTTATCACTCCTCTTATCGCTTTTCACCGTTTTTTCTCGAAATTCACGATTTTTTTTCAACATTTTCGACTCTTGCAGCCAAATTGGCGGCCAAACGTCTTAGGACCTCCTGGCCATACCGGCAAAACAGTCTTTTTCAAGGCTACTAGGACACATGCTTTGAAAGATGGAGTTAATAAATGATTACAAATTAACATTCGCATTGAAGAATTAAATTTTGATGCATCTGGATTAACATTATTTCCTCCTTTGGATCTGACAACTGAAAAAACATTTTCTACGCAATCTTGGGTAAGTCGCCTAGTCAATAAAAAATCTACATCATAACATTCATTTAGTTCCTTAAAAAGCAATTTTAATGAACTAATATTTTCTCGCCAGCCTGTAATACATGGCGATTGTTTTCCTGATTTATTGTGAATTTTTAATTTATACAAAAACTTATCAGCTTTATTCAAAAATTCCCAATGGCACGAATCTTTAGAAAGAGGCCTTCTCAAAACTTTTGGTTCACTTTGTGTAATACTATTAAATGTATCAAAAAGATCATCAAAAATCTTAATAAAATTTGCTGTATGTATTGAATCACTGCTCATTTTATTTAATCCAACAAGTGTCATAATTCCTGAGCTGACAGTATGACTTAAAGTCTGTGTTGCTAAACAAACACGCATGGGAGAAAAAGGAGGAAGTTCCAAATGAATTTTATTTAGTTTTGGAGCCAACCTTGGCTTTTTATCTTTATCTAAATTATAGAATGTAACTATATGTTGCCAAGAATATTTTTCTTGATCACAAGAAAAGTTATATTTTTTAAAATTGTTTCTCACTGACTTTATTAAGTGTGGACTGTCATGAAAAAAATAAATATTTTCTTCTTCAAATGTTATAAATGGTTTTAAACGAGTAACTCCAAATAATTTTCGCATAGAAATATTATTGGTACCTTGATCACAAATTACTACTTTTGGTTTGATTCCAACTTCATTTAATTTTTTTATTGTTGAAGCCACTATATCTATGACCTGACACTGGTCCATTTGAAAAAAAGTGTCCAATTACCTGTTTCCAAGGCATTATTAAACTTTTTATCATGACTACCAGAGCTTGATTGCAATACTTATTATTTTTTGAATCCACTAAACCATCATTTCCAAAATCTTCAAACCCATGAAACTGATCATTTTGAGAATTATAGGATATAAATGATTTAATTGACATTTCATCTATTATTATAGAAACCAGTTTGTGTTTGGGCTCAGCATCAATAAATTTTGTTTTTAGTATCTCAAGTACATTTTCATTTAAGCCACAAGATACATCTAATAGTTGAAGCCATTTTCTTAATGATCTGATGGTTGGAAGGCAAAGGAATTTTCTCATAAATGTGTAAGCTTTTGGAGAGTTATAGTATAGACTGAGTGCAAATGATTTTTCCATTTCTTTAAACCTCCAACCTTTTCTTTTAAGATGACTAAGTCTCAGTTGCATTCGTACAATTGAATTACTTTTAAATTTAGTTAATATTTGTTCTTTATTCCCACTACTATAATTTTTAGCTTTATTTTGAAGTATAGAAATTTTTAGCTTTTGTTTATAAATTAATTGCTGACATTTTCTTAATTTCAATTTCATAGATTTTAAGTTTTTTGAACAAGATTCTTGTTTATGATTGTGATGCACGGGTAGTTTATAATTATAGCCTATAGAATAACCAAAATATAGTGGGTGTAAGTGGGTGATTTGATAATATAAATTCTCCCATGACAAAGAACATGTAACAATATTACAATATTAAACAGCATGCATTCGTACAATCAAGTTTTATTAATTATCTACCATATAAACATATTGTATTTTAATCACATTTGAATTATTCATTATTTTTCATGCATTAAATAGGTATATTGTGCGGGCCGGGAGCATAAAATATTAATACGCGCGCCCGGACACCAATAACTCACCTTACACCACTAACACCTAATTCCTGGAATTATGGAGAACAAGCTGGATGTGTAATGGTGTAATAGCTCGAACAGTAGTGGTCGGGATCGCCTAGCAATTACTGTCGGCTATGTAGTGCGTGTTGTGTAATTATGTGTAATTGTGTATAAATATGTGTATGTGTGTAGGTGTGTATACAATTAAACAAATAGGTAATAAAAAATGGTAACACGGTTTCTGATAGCTGAGTTGCTGTATAATACACAATAATAATAATAATACAAATATATAAAAATCACAGCAACACAGTAGGTATAAAAAATATAATATAAATAATAAATCAAAGCCCTTATGGCTATAATAGTATATAATATATTGTGGCCCTTCTGGCCCGACAGAAAAAAGGTATAAATGCCCAGCCCTTATGGCCAAACAAATAACAATTTAATATGATGGCAGCTATTAAAGCTGTAAATCAGTATAAGCATAAATGATACTAAATGATATATATTATAAAATTCACAGCAATATAATAGATAATAAAAATAAAGGTTTAACTCACAGAAGCTATAAGAGCTATGTGAAAATATAAAAAGATTAGCCCTTCTGGCTCAACATAATAGTAATAATATATAAAATAATGCGTGCAAAATAATGTGCGGCCCTTATGGCCAAACAAAATATAAATATAATGTTTTGTAAAATTGCAGTTATTAAATATAAAAATAATAATAATATGCGGTCCTTATGACCTAGCAGAATAATAATATAATAGTAGTATGCGCCCTTCTGGCACGACAGAATATAATGATAATTGTAACAAAAATATAATAAATATAATAAAATAACTCACAGTAGTTTGTGGAGCGCAGACTGGCCAGTTGCTCCTGAGCTATAGGTATTAAAACACAAAAAAAACACATACGATAACAGAGTACAATTATTTAAAGTGTTACAAAAAAATAGGTAACTGCTAATGAGTATAATATTATAAAACTGACGATTGCGCTTATTACGACAGTAATAAATAACAATACTATAGTGTCGCACAGAAAATGTAATATAATAATTTAATTTGTTACAATTGTAGTAGGCCCTTCTGGCGCTAATAATTATAATAAAAAACAATATTTGCACTAACTTATTTAACAATTATTGAAAATAATAAATATATTTTTTGTTTGCACACACCGTCCGACGTTTTTACGAGACGGACAAAGGAAGACAGTGTCACGGCGGCCGTGATAAGTAAAAATCCGCGTAGACGTAGCGGCGTCGTGCGATAACGTTTAATCTACATATTATATAATTCACAAGACACATTCAACGATAATAATAATAAAACAATACAAATAGTGATATGTGAGTGTGTGTGTGTGTGTGTGTGTCCAGCTGTTCCCCGGTGACCGATGTCCTATATTCTTATTTTTCTTTAATTAGGTAGGTACTATGTTGCGTAATGCTTTCATGTTGCGGCGGCAACATTCTCCCCCCGTTGAAAGTCTTGGGTTTCAACCGGTACGATTTCCTTATCAGTCGGTAGCCTACATAGTTTGATAACTGGACGACGCATATGCGTCCCATTTGCTGTCCTTAGTGTGGCAACGCGTGCTACACCATCAGAACCAGGATGTAATTCAGTGACCAGGCCCAACTTCCACCTGGCTGGAGGCATACAATCATCCTTTATGATCACAACATCGCCCTTTGTTAGTGGTGCGCTCTTACTCGTCCACTTGCCACGAATTTGGATCTGTGGTAGATACTCTTTCGACCAACGCTTCCAAAAAGTTTGCATCAAGTTCTGCACAAGTTGCCATCTACGAAGGCCCTTGGGCTCTTCCTTGGATATGTCTGGCTCATCCGGTAACAGCATAGCCCCTCCAATTAAGAAGTGAGATGGGGTTAACACAGCCAAGTCGGAAGGGTCACTATTTAGAGGAGTCATCGGTCTCGAATTGAGACAAGCCTCGATTTGGCACAGCAGAGTTCGCATTTCTGTGTTCGTGAGTTTGTGATCAGATATCACTCTCTTCAGGTGGTATTTCATACTCTTCACGGCACTCTCCCATACACCGCCAAAATGCGGAGCAGAGGGTGGGTTGAAGTGCCACTCAATGCCTTCCTTTTCTAGGTCACCACTGGCTTTCTTCATCATTGCGACTAACTCCTTTTGAGTTCCAACAAAGTTTGTGCCGTTGTCACTGTATAGCTTTGCACATTTTCCTCTTCTCGCCATAAAACAACGCAATGTCGCCATAAACGACATACCTGAGAGATCGTCAGCCAATTCCAAATGGATGGCCTTTGTGGAAAAGCAAACAAATATTGCAATCCAAGCCTTCTTAGCAGCCACACGTCTCAAACCGCTCCGAATATATATAGGCCCCGCAAAATCTACGCCTGTTACAGTGAAAGGTCTGGTACACTGCACTCTATCTCTTGGGAGCGCTGCCATGATTGGTTGGTTGAAACGTGGCTGTGCCTTCGTGCATTTAACACAGCGCCATACCACTGACCTTGCGGTTACTCGGCCTAGCAGCGGCCAATATAGACGCCTGACTTCCGACAACAAGAGCTGAGGTCCTCCATGAAGAAGCTCCAGATGGTATTTTTCAAATATCATCCTAGTTACTTTATGAGCAGCAGGCAATACCACAGGATGTTTGTGTTCATCAGCCATATCTGAATTCTCGAGCCTTCCACCTACAAGTATTAAACCATCACGCAGGAAAGGGTTCAAGCTCCGCAGCTTGCTATTCCTTGGTACTTCGTGCCCCTTTTCTAGCGACAAGATCTCTTTGCCGAAGCACTCGGCTTGAACCATTCTTAGAATCGTTTTCCTCGCTTCGTTCAAGTCTGGTATTCTTAGGGATTGAGGGCCTTTAATCATCTTACGCAGGTACCTCGTATATATCGTTAACCAAGCTACTCCTCGTAGCATATGATTCCAATCTGAGTAGTGTTTTAATATACTGTTCACTGGGTTGGTCACTGCAAGTACTAGTTTGACTTCACGCACTTCAGGCAGCTCTTCATCCACATGGTTTATCGGACTTCGGATCCAATCCTTTTCGTCCCTTTCTAACCAGGTAGGTCCATTCCACCACAACCTTGTCGCTAATAGCTCCCGTGGCCTTAAACCTCTTGAAGGGATATCCGCTGGGTTTTCCTGCGTGCCTATATGATTCCACTGCTTGACTTTTGTGACATCCAAGATTTGCGCTACTCGATTGGCAACATACGTTTTTAGCCGGCTGCTTTGGCTGTTCAACCATCCTAGGACTATGGTTGAATCCGTCCATAATTTGAACTCATGAATGTTGATTTGCCATGACTCAGCAACTCGTTGAGCCAGCTCAGCTAATAATAATGCACCGTTCAACTCAAGCCGTGGAATTGTGCTTCCCTTTAACGGAGCCACTCGTGTTTTTGCACATAGGAGCCTGGAATGCCACTTTCCGTCGCTGCTCTGGGAACGAATATAGATACAGGCCCCATACGCTTCCTCGGAGGCGTCACAAAACCCATGTACATCTATGATGTCGGTACGTCCGGGCATAGCCTTTCTGGGAATGGATATTTCTCGTAGTCGCTCAAGCTCATCATAGAATTGACTCCATCGTTGCTGAATGTCTATTGGAAGCCGTGCATCCCAGTCTATCTTCATGGACCACAGCTGTTGTAGGAATATTTTTCCCTTGACTAAAACCGGTGACAGAAACCCGAGTGGGTCGAATATTCTGTTCAAGTCAGAGAGTATACCTCTTTTCGACAGTGCACCTGCGGTGGATCTTGCTGTGATGTCATATTGAAAATGGTCTGCGACTGGTTTCCACTGCAGCCCCAGTGACTTGACTGTGTCGTCATCTCCTATATTTAATACAAACAAGGGATCGTCAACAGGCTTGGACATGCTTCGCAGAACCAACTCGGAATTGGAACACCATTTCCTTAACGGCAACTTTGCTGAATCTAGCACTAAGCTAACATCTCTTTGTAATTGACAGCAATCATCTTCCGTATCAGCCCCCGTCATTAGATCGTCCATGTAGAAATCCTTGGTGATCACTTTTGCAGCTTTCGGGTATTCCTTCTGAACACTTTCTGCGAGTGCTATGAGACAATAGGTGGACAAGAATGAGGCAGGGGTCGTACCATACGTGACTGTAGTAAGCTGATATGAACGGAGTGATTCTTCGGGGCTGGATCTCCAGACAATTCTTTGTAGGTCCCAGTCTTCTCTTCCTACCTTAATTTGCCGAAACATTTTTTCTATATCCGAAGTTAAGACAAATTGATGCTTGCGGAAGCGAACGAGTATTGAAAATAAATCTTGCTGAACAGTTGGACCACATCTCAATACATCATTAAGTGATACACCAGATGCGCTCTTGGCCGAGGCATCGAAAACTACTCGGACCTTTGTTGTCAAACTTGACGCCTTTGTTACCGAATGGTGTGGTAGATAAAAGTGATTCTGAGTCTGAATCGAATCTTCCAACACTTCAACCATATGTCCCAATTCAATATATTCGTTCATAAAACGTATGTACTCATCCTTTAGTAGCTTATCATTCTGCAATCTTTTCTCTACATTTAAGAACCGAGCGGTCGCCATAGGTAATGTTGCGCCTATTTCACTGATTGCCCGCTTGATGGGAAGTCGGACGACGAAACGTCCCTCTTCA